CGGATGTATTTAGAGTGTGGCAATTTCCAACAGTTTGCTGTGATGTAGCATGGCAATTCATGAACATGTAGGCATTTTTTATATAGCAAGTCAATTCTCTGATGTAGCATCGCAATTCTACCTGCTGTAGCATGGCAATTCTTGGACATGTGTGACAATTGTTCCTTTTTTTCTTTAGCTGGCAATTATCTACACTACATCATGGAAAATCTCTGCAACGTGTGGCAATTCGCTCTGTTGCAGCATGCCAAATTCTTGTCAATTCTTTCTACTAGTGTGGCAATTTTTTCTTTTCACATGACAAATCTTTCTGTAATCGCATGGCAAATATATGTATTATAGCATGGCAATTCCCGAGCTTTTGCTGGAAGTTAATTTTTGAATAAACACTCTCTCGTGGCATGGTTCACTCAAACAAGCCTGCTGCAAGGAACGTTTGTTTGTTTGGGTGACCTCGCTGAGAAAATACAAGCTGTTATTCACATCCATTACAAATCAAAATTACGTTGTTTGATCACCATGATCCAACAAACACGAGCTCATTATTTGCCACGTGATGAGAACATGAGAGATGAGACCCAATCCTCCGGCCTCCCCCTACGAAAAAGACAAATGAATTATCATTTTACATGTTTCATGCAAAGTGCAATTTTTTCATAGATCAATTCATTATAAGACAATTTGGGTTCAAAAATCCACCATTGCAAAGTAGCCTGATTATTGTTATTTCTTTACTGGTTTGGAAACGAATATGCGTAGATGTAATCATATTACGTTTGTACTCCCTCTGTCCTAAAATAAGTGTCTCAATTTTTAGATCATTAAAATAGTGATCTAAATACACTTATGCAGAAAAAGAAGCTTCGAACTCATCCAATAATCACTTTGACAAACACACGAAAATCAAAATGACCATGAAACAAAAACACCCTCGTGAAAATACAACAAACTTTCATTTCAACCCAGAGAAATATATTAGAAAAAGGGTTGCACAGTGCTCAAGGAAAAAAAAGGACTATCCTACATACGTTCTCTCGTTGACAAATTTAATCCTCACCGAGATTATACAGTCGCGAAGAAACCCGCGAACACCAGAATCAAAATGAACACCGGAGCCAAGGCGTACGTGGTGACTACCGCTGCCGAGTGCCGACCCGCTGGACGGCGCTGGCGACGGTGCGGTCCCCGTCTCCAGGTCACCAGCAGCCTCCTCGGTCGACGGGGCACCGGCCAACGGGGCCGGCGCTGCCTCGGGCGCGGTCTCTGTCTCTAGGTTACCAGTGGCCTCCTCGGCCGACGGGCCAGCGGCCACCGGAGCCGGCGCGGCGTCCGTCGCTCCGGCACCAGTGAGCACGAGGCTGCCCTTCGCCTCCAGGTTCTCCTGCGCGAACGCGTGCTTGGCCGGCACCCCATTGGCCACCGTCGACCCTACCTGCCAGATGTGGTTGACGGCCTCCATGCCCTTGGGCAGCTGCAGCGTCCCGTAGAGCCGCACCTTCCCGTCGGCGGCGAGCTCGGTGGCCTCGAGCGCGATCGGCGTGGACGCCGCGCTGAGCGGGCGGTACCCGGTGAGGTTGTACGTGTTGACGACGTACGCGCCGCTGCTCTTGAAGGCGACAAGCGTCTGCGCGCCCTTCATGCCGTCGCCGGTGGGGTTGATCCCCCAGGCCACCCAGCCGGCACCGCTCGCGCCGGGCGGTTTGGCCGCGAACGCCAGGGAGAGCGACGAGACCGCCGCGTCGTACGTCCAGTGCAGCGAGGCGCCGGACGTGGATTTTTAGAACATCTGCACCCGGTCCCTGCTATTCTAGCTGTCCAATATTGCTTTAAGATCTGTACAACACAACTAACTTTTTATCTGAATTTTTTTCTTTTTTGTTTCTCTCGCATAAAACATGTTTTGAAGTTCAAACCTTTGCAGCGTGGCAAAGCTTTTATCTAGAATCTAGGATAAATCTTTCAGATTTTTTGGTCAAAAATAAATATACAAAAAATGATTTTTAAGATTAAAAATCTTAATCTTAAAAATCATTTTTTGTATATTTATTTTTGACCAAAATATCTGAAAGATTTATCCTAGATTCTAGATAAAAGCTTTGCCGCGCTGCAAAGGTTTGAACTTCAAAACATGTTTTATGCGAGAGAAACAAAAAAGAGAAATGTGTTTGCACGAATCGCGAATCGCAAAATGGATGGCTAGATAGTGAGGGCCTGACGCAGGTGTTCTATTATATATTTTCGGCGAGGTGCCGAGGGTCGGGAGGTCCGCGCACGTCGCGTAGCTCCTGCCGGCCGGGAACTCCTCGCTCTCGCAGGCTCCGTCGACCGCCAGCATTGCCGTCGATGACGCCGCCAGTAGCAGGAGGGCCAGCTGGAGAATGCAACGGCTCCGGTGGTGCACCGTCGTCGCGGATGCCATGTCTTCGGGAGGCGCGAGGTAAGACACCAGCTAGCTAGAGGTTTTGTGTTGATCTTGGGAGAGAAGCGCACACTCGTGGTTTATATAGGTAGGGAGCCGGCCGGGGTGGTGGCCATGGACCATGGTGGGGGGTGCAATGTATCTTGGAGTAGTTGACCTGCGATCTCACCTTCTCAACGATTTCATAGCCATCAGGTGGCCTCGAAACTATATGAACCCTTGTAATGTCACGATGTCAATAATGGTACGGAAAGTAGTAATCCTATTTGGTGAGTACATTCAGTTTAAGTATTTGTTGTGAGTATAAGGCACGATCGATGGAGGGAACGGAGATGCTAACCTAAGCATATGCGTCATCACATCCCTAGCCGCCGCCGGTCGATCTTCCCTGGCTTCCCCGCGAGGAACGAGACCTTGTCCCTCCATCTATCACTTTAGTGTCGGGAGGGGCTGAGACCCATGGCGGCAGGGTATATATGTTTTTCGGCATGAAATAAGGTATCCGCGCCTTGTCTTTGTTCAGGTGATGCTTCTCCGTATCGCCAGTAAGCATGTAGAGGAGACGGATCTACTTTTTTCTTCTACAGGTTTGTCATGGTGGAGTTGTCATGCGAAACATACAATGTGGGTGTACGTCTTGATTCTTTGGCTCCAGTTTCGACCAACGAAGATTGACAACCTCGGCCTAGTTGCGAGCGTATGAGGTTT